CATGTAGTCCTCGTTCAGTTTTCTAACAGCGTCAGCACCAAGCATGAGAAAGTTAATGTCCTGATGTTCAAGACCTGGCTTCCTCAAGCTCGAGCTCCAACTGCCTGATGCGCTCATCCTTTTCACGGTCCGAGGGCTCGGAGCTGGCAACCTTGGTCTTGAGCATCGAGACTTCGCGCAGAAGGAGTGCGATTTGATCGGTTTGGTCTGACATGACCCTGTTTTGCTGCTCAAGCTGTGACTTGATGTCGCCTAATGCATCGCGAAGAGCGGAAGCGGGACCACCGGCGCTAGGTGTGGAGGTCGTAGCAGCTGTAGTGGGCGTAGAGGAGGTAGGTGCAGCAGATGAAGCGGGTGTGGAGGATGCTGCAGGAGTTGGAGTGGGAGTGGGAGTGGGCTTCGCGCTCTCAGGTTCCTTGGAGATAGTGGGGCCCTTAACCTTCTCTTCCTGGCGGGAAGCAGTGAAAGTGCGGCGCTCTGCTGGCTTGGGAATCTCTTCGAAGCTCGACGCGCTCTCGTTGTCCGAAGCATCCTTGTCCGCGAATTTGGAAGCTGCCGACGCCATAGAATCCTTGTTGTCCTTCATAGATGGGGGTGGACCACGAGAAGCGACTGGTGTAGGTATGGGCTCGGGCGCAGGCTTGGGCGGCTCGGCCTTGACGGGGGATGGCTGACTGGTGGCCGGCTGGGAAGGCTTGTAGTCGTTTTCCACCTCTTTGGGGGCTTCGCCCTCATAGACGCTTTCAAGTGAAATCTTGGGCGGCATTGCAGTCTTTCCGCTGAACCAATCGGCAGCCGAAACACCTGGCTTCAGACCTGTCGTAGGCGGGTAAATATCACTCTGGAACATCTCGGAACGGCGGGGGACGATGAATGATACGGGCTCGACGTAGGCATCGTTGACAGTCTTGAAGCAGCGCAGGACCTCGTTCTCGTGCAGGTTGATACCCCGCTTGGGAAGGAAGGCGATACCGCGCTGAGGGTCGCCGGACTTGTATTCGGAGAGGTACTCGAACTTGTCGTTCTCGTATTCGTAGTAGCGGATGTTGCCGTCACTGCGCAAGTTAGTGTATGGCGATAAAATTGGGAGGTCAGACGTACCCCTTGCCGGCGAGGTACAAGCACTGTGTACCGTCGTCCCAGAAGGGCATGCAGACACCGGAGATGGAGTCGAGGATCTGGAAGCCGCCAATGGGCTCCTTGGGGTTGCGCGGGTCCCAGAGACCGAGTTGACGGTCGCTCATGCGCGAGAAGCCAGTGGTCGCGATACGGTCGGTCTCACCCATCCACACAGCGCGGCTGTTCTTGGCACCAGGATGACCGGGAACCTCCTGGGCGGGCTTCTCCTGGCGTACATCCCATACGCGCAGCTTCTTGTCGCGGCTCGTGGTGACGAGGAGCGATCCGTCGGCGCTCCATGAGAGCGATTGGACAATGTCGTTGTGCTTGAGCGTGAGCTGTGGCAGACCGGCCTCGACGTCCCAGAGCTTTACGGTGTAGTCGCCAGACGCGCTGGCGAGGACGTTCTCGGCGGCGGTGTTGAAGAGGACATGGCCGACCTTCCTGTGGCAGTGTTAGATGCGAATCTCGACCGAGCGCATCGGCGTACCTCATGTGGCCGCTCAGCTTGGCGACAGGCGCGACATCAGCGGGCTCCTCGGCATCGGTGTGCAGGGTGAAGTTCTCGGGCACCTTCCAGATGCCGACTTTGCCGTCGTCAGAGGCCGAGGAAATGAGAGAGTCGTTGAAGGGAGACCTGCGCGCGGTTAGCGTCGTGCTCGGCCCTGTCATGCCATGTGCGACCATACCAGTCGGTGTCGAGGACGGCGGCAGTGTGGCCGCGGAAGAGAGGGAGCTGGTCGGGCGCCCGGCCGCGCTCGTTGATGGGGATGACGGCAAAGGCGCCACCGCCGCTGGCTTCCCAGTTGACCGAGATGTATTCGGGGTTGGCCTAGGGGGGTGAGCGCAAGTACGACGGGGTCGCGTGCGGGAGAGCTGACCTTGATCAGGTTGGTGTCCCACGCATTCTTGGAGATGCGGAGGTTATCGTAGCATTGCTCCTGCAAGACGGTCAGTACACGTGCGTGCTAGATCCATGGATAGCATTGGAGCGTACCTTTTTGGTGCCCTTGCCAAAGACGTGGCCTGGCAGGCGGTGTTAGCATGTTGGGCTGGGCGGGCGTTGGACATCAACACTCACGGTACTTGGACGCTCGCACAAATCGGCCGGCCATGGTTGCGGGTGGCAGTGACGGGGGTGGTGGCGAGTGTAGGAATGACAGACTCTCGGGCCTCGGGCGTTGGGCTATAAGAGGCGCTGCGGTGGGTGCGAGGGCAATGCGACGGTTTCGAGCGCGTGTTTCGAGTCCTGGGACGCAGTTGCCCCCAGCATGCCTATGCAGGCGCCTTGGCGGTGGGCCCGCGATGCCCGCTCCAATCTCGCCAACGGTCCCTAGTCACCCTCGTCACTCCACCACTCCACCAATTTGCAGCTGTTTATGCAGCCCCAGCCCAGCAACCGCATGTTCGCAGCACGATCTCCAACTAACGACTTAGTACAATATGCCTGAGGCCGGTCCTGAGGTCACGGGAATGCAACTTCTGTTTTCACATTTCTTCTTGTGCTAGTTTCCTTCGACTGTCCGTGGTCAATACTTTGCGTCTACTACTACTACTACTACCAACAAACACTCAAACCATATTCAGGCAGACCCGTCCCTAAATATCCTCAAACACCTTCCTCTCCGCCCTTGCTTCAATCATGCCTAGCTCTTCGCACCTTCCGCGAAGCCAAATCGTCCACTCGTCGTCGCCAGCAGCCAGAACCACATTTTCTTGCGGGTAGACGACCCACTGTATTCCCGAGAGAGCTTTATCCATACCCTTGTTGAAGAGCTGCGTTTGTTCCTTGCTCCACGATTGGAATATGTCGCAGAGCTGTTCGCGGACATGATCCTTATAAGCATTTTCGACGAGGTGGGTATACCGCCCCATGTATTTGCGCCGTGGCCGTCGACTCTTGCGATCGACGGTTGCATCATTAGGAAATTTCTCTGAGCAACCATCCGTAAGACGCAAGTATGCGATATACTGATCAACCGCTTCGACGAACTCAGTTGCCCATTGCAAGGCTGTTGGCGCCTTGTTGTGGAACTCCATAGGATTTTCCAAGTGCGTTGATATCAACGGAACGATGTGGTACAGCATCACCCCTAACCCCATGCCCACGTCGAAGGGCTGAGCCGAATTAGTACGGATTCTGGCAATGATCGCTGGTATTTTAAAGTCGTATCCCATCTTTCTGAGCGCGAGGGTGTCGAACGGGTGCTTTTTGGCTCGTTTGACTGCTTGCTCTGGTGCACCGGTAGTGTCTGGTGCGTGCTGGACTCCATCTATCAGAGGCCTCCCCGCCCTTTTAGCGCCCTGTGTCTGTGGAATGGCCATGGCCGGCAGTGAGTGCAGATTCGAATTATGGCTTTTCAGGTGAATGATCTCGACGTGTAAGATAAAGATTCCCCCGGGCAGGCCACGGGTAGGTAATTTGTTTTCGTAGTGTTTGCGCTGGCATTGTTGAAGTATGTCTTTGTCACAACACGTCAGCTTTGCTAATAGCATGGCTTTGAGCGTTCCCATGTCCGGTGATGTCTTTCACTACATTGTGTGATGTTGAAACTACTCGAAGCACTGGGGCCGTTCAGAAGCGTAGACAGGTGAACTGGGGAACATAGCCATACACCTACCCAAGTCTTGGACGACAAGGCTGAGCACATGCATGCTGCACGCACTTACCCGCAAACGAACCAACACCGACGCAAGTCAGTATGCAGTCTACTATCGCAAATAAGCGGAGCGGAGCTTCTCGAAGGAATGGAAGCTCCCCAGCCTTCCTCGAGTCACCGATCCGCCGTTCGTGAAACTACATCGACGTGTCTCATATCAACCCCATGGAGAGACCACTTTACAGCACGTGCGACTGTCGCGACAGCGCACTCTCTTCTGCCGCCAACGTCCTTTCCATCTTAACATTCGCGTACATTCTGATAGCTGGCACTCTCTACCAGGTGGCTGCGCTCTATCGAGTGAAAAGTGATAGCGACTGGGCTGCAGTGCAGGCGCAAGCGACACGACTACGAGACTTTGCATGGTCGATAGAACGCAGAGATGCTATCAGCACTGAGTTCTTCAAACGACTGGACGATCTGGATAAGGAGATAGCACGGAAGCTTCCTGGCAATGCCGCAACAGGGAAATGGCATCTGGTATGGCGGCAGGCAAGGAGCACCTGGGACAGAGCTGAGATAGAGGAGAAGCTATACAGTCTGGCGCAGATGCGGTATGTTTTGACGGGAGTCCTCTATTTTCCCATAGAGTGAGAGGAATAACAGGCTAACGCTCAGTCCACGCATCAGTCTACTATTTCTCGAGAGTGGATTGAATGACGTTGAGCAAGACAATAAGCCGACGGACCAAGTGCTAGACAAAGCTCGCACCCAGCTCGAAGAGTCGAAACGCCTGTTCCTCACTCAACTCAGGAGCGAGCCCAAGGAGCGGCGAAGACGAACGCTAGATGCGATAAAGAGCGAATCCGGGGAACGAGGGCGCGCAGCTTGGGAGGAGATTGAGGATGTGATCAAGAGGCTTGATGCAGAGGATGTGGAGCGGCGTGGAACCCGGGGGTTTGTCGAAGGCGTTTGATGAAGTGCGGAGCGTAAGAGACGGGGGTTCCCGCTCATAATACGATGCAAAGCGCGTCCATGTCTTTAGATTTGCGCCCGTATCGCAAACAAAAACCAAGGTTCAAAAAGATCCAAGTCAAAAAGCACGATGCAGGTGGTGTTGAGAGGATGGCACACCGCTGGCGGCAGTGCCTCGGCTCACGGGGATAGCGGCAATGAGCTCCCCATTGCTTGCGTGCGGAGAAGCATAACCCTTTACCTCATTCTACCCAGACTTCCTGACCTCCTGCATGCTCATCATTACATATACGGACCAATCTCGCCATGTCTGACGAAACCGAGAAGCCCACCCAGCCCGAAGCGTCCAATGTGACTGACACCCCTGACGTCAAGGAGGTGGTGGATAAGATAGCGGATGCCGCACCCAGGGCGGATCCGAGGGACCTGGACAGGACCGACTTGCTTGCAGGCGTCAAGAAAGTGGACCAAACGATTCTGAGGCTGAACAAGTACGTCAGGTCGAGCGTGTGTCGTTGTGAGGGTCAGAGGCATGAGCTAATGTAGGGCAGACTCCTAGCTTCCCCAGGCGGCCTCTCCGCATTCCTCTCCACATTCAACTACTCCCTCTACATCCTCGCCTACGTGCAGACCAAATCGCCGTCCATTTCCAGCTTCGCGACACGGCTCCTCACGCTGATCCGCCCCGCTTGCGACGATGCAAAGATCTCCGCCGCAACCCTGTTGAACAACGGCACGGTGCCGCCCATCGCTGCGCTCGCCGTCCTCATCTCGAAAGCGCGCACAACGCTGAGGCTGTTTGGTCTCTTCCCGCTGTACGCCTGGTTGCGCTCGCTAGCCTCAGGCCCCAAAGCCGGCACAGATGTCGTGCTGCACCGCATCGCCATGCTGCAGGCGAGCAGCTACTTCTCCTACCAAGCCCTAGAGAACATCTCCCTCCTCGCCGACTCGGGCGTCATCTCGCCCCGCTTCATCTCTACCCTCAACCGCGGCGATTCGACGACTGCGCGTTTATACCTGTATGCCTACCGCTGTTGGCTAGGCGGCGTGTCGTGCGACTTCCTCCGCTTGATGCGCGAGTGGCAGCTCGAGGGCCGCAGGAGGGTGACTAGGCAACAGATGGTTGCCGATGGCCGCGCGATTGCGGAATATCAGGACGAAGAGGACAAGAAGTTTGACAACAGGTGGTGGACCGATTTTGTTATCGCAAGCGCGTGGTTGCCCATGGCGCTGCACTTCAGCAGCACGACTGGAGGCTTGCCAGGCTGGAATCTGGGATGGATGGGTGCCTGTGGTTTGGTGGCTGGAAGTACGAGGTTCAAGGCGCTCTGGGCAAGTACAGCCTAGGGGATTTGTTACCATGGTAAGAGGGCTTACTGGGTTTCGGCACAATTTACATATATTCGAGCGTTTAGCTTTTTTGACAGTTGAGGTATTCGAGCAGTATGAGCCCTTACGTTGTCCATGTCATTTTCCACAGTCCGGTCATGGTGACCATGTGCTGCCGCGGCGATTGCGCCTGCCCTAAACGCATCTTTATGAGCGATACAAGCCGTATGCCGAATGGATACGGAACGCACCTGCTTCTACACTACATGGAGCTAGCCGTACAGGGAAAGCCCAACCGACTATCCAGAAGTGGGGAAGTGACTATCTCCCAGACACGATTACGTCGGCCCATCCTGCTCCCGCCTGGGACCACGAACATACAATCGACAACGCTGGCGTCACCACACGCCCACAAGAATTGGGACTCACCACCTTTTGGAACACCTTCGTTGAGCTAAGCTGTTCCTGAAACATGGCAGGCAATAGTGTATGTTCGCGACCACCAACGGCATGACATTGACTGACTCATTTCCTGATCTAGAGTCTTGGTCTAAATCCTCAAGACTTTAACATTGTCGAAGCTAGTATCGGTCATCATCTAGAAGCTCTCGAAGAACAACGGATTACCAGCGTGGATCTTGTCATCAGCTGTCTGAATCGCATTGCCAAGTTCGACACTATCCAAGGTCTGAACGCCTTTACGGTATTCAACGAGAAGGTCCTCCAAGATGCAGCAGCTTCCGATGCTCGGCGTGCCCAAGGCCTCAAGCCTCGACCTTTGGAAGGTATACCTTATACGATCAAAGACAGCTACAAAGTTGCCGGCATGACAGTCACAGATGGCTCACCTGCTCTGAAAGGTGTCATGTCAAGCGGCGACTCTGCAATCGCTGAGAAGCTTCGAGCTGCGGGAGCGATCTTGATTGGAAAAACTAACATGCCACCGATGGCTGCGGGTGGTATGCAGAGAGGCATGTATGGTCGTGCAGAGTCGCCGTATAACTCAAAGTACCTCACCGGCGCCTTCTCATCTGGTTCGTCAAATGGTGCTGCAACATCTGTGACGTCCAGCATGGCAGTCTTCGGCATGGGTAGCGAGACCGTCAGCAGCGGACGAAGTCCAGCGTCCAATAACGCCATCGTATGCTATACGCCATCGAAGGGACTCTTGAGCTGTCGCGGGTTGTGGCCTTTGTACATCACATGCGATGTGCCAACCCCGTATGCGAGATCGGTGGACGACATGTTGGAAATACTGAATGTCATTGCTACTCCAGATGAAGACACCACGGGGGACTTCATACGCGAACAGAAGCATGTGCAGATACCTCAGCCTCCTTCGATCGATTACACTACTCTACGAAACGACGAAGCGCTGCGAGATAAGAGGGTTGGGGTGCCGAAGATGTACATTGGCCAGAAAGACTCAGATCCACACGCAAAACATCCTTACGTTTCACCGGGGGTCGTCGCAATATGGCAACGGGCAGCAGAAGACCTTAAGTCTTTGGGGGCAGAGATCGTCTACACCGATTTCCCTCTGATAACAAATTACGAAAACGACTCCCTTTCAGGCGAGGCGAACAACGTCGATGGACGTCCCGCGAACTGGAACCTCCTCGAGCGAGGCGTTCTTATCGCCCAAGCGTGGAACGCTTTTCTCGTAGACAACAATGACCCCAACATCAAGTGCTTAGCCGACATCAAAGATCCTGCGATGCTATTCCCAAAGCCACCAGACTACAAGCCGGATCGCTTTCTCGAAGTGAGGAATTGGATTGATTACCCCGGTCTGCCCAAGATGGTCCAGGATGGGAGTATACATGACATACAGGGTATGGAGCAAGCTCTCAAAGCTCTCGAAGCTCAAAGAAAACGCGATCTAGAAGATTGGATGGACAAAAATGGGCTGGATATCGTTGCATTTCCTGCGCAAGGCGATGTCGGTCTCGCAGATCTTGAATTCGACATTGACAGTACGACACATAGTCTCCAGAATGGCGTGAAATACTCCAACGGTAATCGCGCAATCAGGCATCTCGGTGTACCTACTGTTAGTGTACCCATGGGTGTCATGAGCGACAAGAACATGCCTGTGAACATCACATTCGCTGGGAAGGCTTACGAAGATGATTAAGTGATTAAGTAGGTACACTAGGGTAATAAAGCATGTAAAGTACTTCTAAATAAGTAAATTTATAAGAAAATAGGCCCTCTACCTACTTATAGTAATAATTAGCTAAAAATAAAAGTCTTAAGTACTAAGCCTAAAAATAAGCTATAAATAAAAATCTTATTAAATTATTAGAAGGTAACTTTCTATAATAAGTACTATAAAACTTTATAAGCTTTTTTAAGTATAAAGAATAACTAAAGCTATAAAGTATAGTTATAGTAGTAAAAGAAGGCCTTATATATAAAATTTTACTTTAATTTTTCTCTTTTTTTTTTCTTATACTATATTACTTAAAATACTAAGTAAGTATTATTAGTAATTATTATTACTACTACTTTTACTAACTTAAAAGCTATAAAATATTTTCTATATTTAACTACTACGCTATTTTTTTTATAGCTTCTACTATAATAAAGCTTATAAATTTTTTACTAAATATACTTAAATAACTAAGTATTAATACTCTAAAGCTATAAACTATTAAGACTATTAAAATTTTATATATATATATAACTATACTTAATATTTAAGTAGCTACTTTTATAACTACTAAGTATAACTATAAAGTTTAAAATATTAATAGTAAAGCTATAGTAGTAGTAATAAAAATAAAAAGCTATATACTTATAATAAAAAAATAGTAAAGTATTTTAAAAACTATATAAGTTAGTAAATAGTTTAATACTATAATAGTAGCGTACTACTTTAAGTAGTAAATAAAAAAAATAAAAAAGCTAATAGTTAAAATTAGTTAGCTTATTATTATAAATAAAAATAAAGTAGTATTTATAAAGTTTTTATTTAGTAATAAGAATATTATATAGATAGTTTTAGTATAGTATTACTTTAGTAAATACTAAAGATAAGCTATAGTAGCGTATAGCGTATAGAAGAATTACTAAAATAAGTATAAATATTAAATTTAATAAAATTAAAATAAGTAGTTAATTAATAAACTTAGTACTAAAGTACTAGCTAAAACGCGACCAGGCTTACGAAGATACTAAGCTATTGGAGTATGCATATGCGTTTGAACGAGCGACCAAGAGACGTACACCGCCTCCTCTTACCGCCCTACCCACCGATATCATCCGAAAGGCATCCTCCTCGCCACCCAAAAACAAGCCTCTAATTGAATCCGTTGCAGCTGTATCCAACGCTATCGTGGGACTCACTATCCAAGTCTCCATGGTCGCCTACGGTGGCTCTGACTATCCGTCACCAGCAACGTCACTGGAGGTCTTCGTAGACGGGGAGGCGGTATTTCACGAGAACGCCAACAAGTTGGAGTGGAACGTTTCGTTCGCAAATAAAGTTCAGAGGCCGAAAGTCCTGGGGTGGGATCTCAAGCCGTTGCCGAAGAGAGACATCATGGTCATCGTGGTTGTGAAGAGGCAGTTGGATGGGGAGGGCCTGCAGAGGGAGGCAAGGGTACTTTGGGTACCTGTCGATGAACTTGGTGAAGCGTCTGCCTGAATATCTGCAAAGACCTACTGCAAAGAACTGCATCTGTTACGCCTGTATAGCACAAGGTTGCGGGGACGATCATGCTCTAAACAACCAAGTCGCATAGAGCGAAGCACCTCGCATCAACTCGACCACTTCACTTTGACAAAACACCGTGTACTTATGGTAAAGCGATAGTTGCAAACGAGTCAGACCTTCCTAACTAACGATACACCCACAACACCTCAACGCAACAAAGTGAACCTCGATAGAGACGTGCTCAACCAACCTGCATCCCACCAGGCAACGCCGTCAGCCAACCATCAAAATTCTCGCCAACCATATCCTTAACATTGCACTTATTCTGCGTCGCAATGTTCTGCTTCTTCAGCGTCGGCGCCGACACATAATTATTCCCATCCATAGCCTTCTGCAGCGAGTCGTCCTTCCAGCCGAACAGGTAGTCCGCATGCGTCGAGAAGCCAGTCGCGTCGCCGCTAGACCAGACAAAAGGCTGGCTACCATCGCTTGGCCAGTCGGCCTTGTTGTTAAACTGCTTCGTGTCCCAGACCGTCTCTAGGAGGATCTGGGGCAGGCGGACGGGGTGTGTAGATGGACACGTGCCGCCATTTTCAAATGTACCCGTCGCGGGATACGAGACGTGTTCGCGGTGGTTTGGTGAATCGAGGTTCACGCCGTCCCAGCACTGGAAGCAGTCAGTACACACATGCAACGTACAATTACAACGTCGGAACTCTTACAGTTGGAAACCGATGGTTAATCATGATGCCGGCCGGGCAAGGCTGCTTCGGAAACTCGAGTGTTTCAGGCTCCCGGGTACCCTCGTTTTGCATGCAGATATATGTCAACTGTCGAAAGTCGCGCGCTTCCTCACGAGAGCGGTACGAGACATCGCCGATTAGCATGCGAAAACCGGGCTTGAAGGCTGTTACTTTTGTGGTTTGCGAGGTGCTGAAGAGGGCGTCGGTCATGTAGTATACAACCTGCATGCATGTTAGGCGTTGGCTGTGATGGGGTAAGAAGAAGGTACGTACCATGCCGCCGTTGGTACCTTCCATGCCTTGTTGCGCTCGTTGGGGTACGCGTTTGAAGGTGCCGTTCTTGGCTTTGAAATACACGACTGCAGTCCAGTAGTTGCCTACAGTCATCTCATTAGCGTCTCTCAGTCATCTAGAACTGTGTTGTAGTCCTCACTCAAGTCTTCGGAAAACTCGCACGTGGTGCATGTCGAATGTGTCGCCAGATCATGGCCTTTGGCTGGATCCATGGTGACGTTGAAGGAGTTCTGACAGTGTCAGCAATAGAATGCTTGTTTGGAGATGGGTGGTCTTACACCTCCGATGATCTGATGAAGATGTGGCGAGGGATTCGAGCCTGGGTTCACCAACGGGTCAAGTCTCTGGACTGTCAACTGCGCGCAGCCAAAGCGCAAAAGGCCTGCTTTCGCAGTCGCGACGAACCCGAAGGCAATTATGAAGGTGTGTAGTTTCATGTCGTTACGTTCCTGTGGTCTCCAGCGTTCCGATGTTATCGACCACTACCAAATAGCAGTTTGCAGCCCATGGCAAGTCTATCCTTCATACTATGGGTGCCACGACTTGATTTCCAAGATACTACCAACTGCCGTCTTTCACGAGCATCAATGCGAAGAGCCGAGGGCCAGGGTAATGTAAGCTAATATCGCGTAGCGAATGCGAGCTCAGATGCCAAGGAAGATCGAACGTCGTCGTTCCATGAAGGAGGTCATTCATCTGAAGCCTTCAAATGAGCAAACGCCTGGAATGAGTGTTCTCTAGAGTGGTCGAAGGACAAGAGCTGAAAAGGTGCACGACGCGGGACGATCCGTCCGATGCCTACAGAAACTGCAGCTGACCGTGGGTGTAACCTGCATTCGTTCTCCTCCAAAATACCGCAAGCTGCATAGTACTTCCGGATATATTGTTCCAAGCGACCAGCACGAGTTGCAATCGGATACATGAGTCCGGGATGCTCAGTGCCAGTGACGTCCGATGACAGACAGTTGAGTAGAGCAAAGCGGCACCACACAACGACAAACACTTCCTAACCAACCACTCTCACTTTTTTCGATCACCTAAATCCATCATGATGCTCTTTCTCGCCGTTCTGGCAACTCTTCTCGCTCTCAGCGCCGCCCAAACATACCCAGAGTGCACTGCCGAAGTCGCACGGAGCGACGACTGCGCCGCGGTCATCAACGCAAACGCCTGCTACAACAAGTTTCGGTGGAACGCGCAGACCTTGACATGCATAGATGGAGATGATAATGCGGTAAAACAAAAGAAGGTAAGGCATTCAACGGCTGACGATGGAGATTATGGCGCTGACCACGGTGGTGCATGACAGGTGTGCGCTTGTTGCAGCTGTGTCGGAAAAGTCATGTGTGACTGGGCGACGAAGCAAAAGTATTGTTGAGATATTGGATATTACTCGGGTTACGTTGAGACGTAGGTAGTCAAGGACGCCTGGAAAACAGATCGAGTCTACGGACATTTGTATACATTGACTTCTCTGTGACTGCCGCATGATCAGCACTCGTTGTATAAGAAGACAATACATCGAACCAAAACCAGTCCCGAGTCCGAGTCAAAGCCGCACCCTGATTCCGTAATACAATAGCATGGGTTTTAGCTATCGTTCCTGGCGACATCTGAATACGATCTGTAAGGGGTTCATGCGCCTTGTGATGTCTGCATCATTACGGCACGGGAGCCTTGGCAAGGCTGACAGCCACCGCAACCAGCCGCCTAGTGATTAAGGGGTTTATGAAGCTTTCTGTTGAAATAGTTCTTGCTTCTGTACTTTCTCTACGCCAGCTCTACGATGAAGGCGTTCTTATGCCTGTCGTACCTAGCGGCGTCTGTTTTAGCCGAGTTCACAAACCCCAACTGGATTAACGGGAAGAGATTTTGGTCCAAAGGCGAGGAGATAACTATCCGATGGGACGACAATTGGCCGAATTGGGGTGATGGGCCCGCCGGCGACGAGTCTCTCCTTGATCTCTGGATTACAGGCTATGCCAACGACGCATTTGTACGAAAACTATTTGGTACGTTATTATCGGCGTTGTTTATCCCGGCGACCTGGGAAGCTAATCGATATTCGCAATAGAACTGGATACGACCGATGTGCGGCAAGGTGGGCAATGGGACTGGACGGTCGATGTCCCCGACGATCGCGCCAACGGCAGTAATCATGTCTTTCGATGGAAAGAGCATCGCGACGATGATGTATGGGATAACTATTCGTGGGGATATCGGAGCATGATGTTTGCGGTATCCAGAGCTATTGGGCCCTCTTCCTCGTCATCCACAACCACATCGAACTCAGGAGCAGAGTCTACGGCTATCTCGAACAGCATGACCACTTCGGACCACGACTTATCCAACCCACCCAGTGGAATTCCAAGCCCCGAGAATACTCCGTCAGGCAACGATAGAGCTTCGCGCGGTACAAGTTCAGGTGTTATTGCAGGT